CGCAGAAGCGCTGGGCCTGAGCAGCAACAGCAGCAGCAGCAGCAGCAGCAGCAAAGGCTCGGTCTCTAGCGCGCCAATTGCTGCTGCGTTTTTCCACCCCCAGCTGCCTTTAATTTACACTGCTCACTCCGAGCGGTAAACCCTAAACCCTAAACCCTAAACCCTAAGCTCAACACTATTGGGTCTTGAACCCCCAAGCTCACTGCATAGGGCCTGAGGCTCCGCCGTCGAGAGCGCAGCAAGACACTCCTAAACCCTAAACCCTAAACCCTAGCTTGCAACCCCACAGCAGCAGCAAAGGGGAGCAGCAAATGTCTTCTTCTCTGCTGCTGCAGCACCTTCCCCGTCGACCCAGAGCCTGGCAACTGCAGCAGTAACGCAGCAGCAGCAGCAGCTGCCGCTGCCATCCGCTTCAAGTGGGCCATCGGTCTCTGGTCAGCTGCTGGAGGGACTTGACGCTCCTGCAGCAGCAGCAGCAGCAGTAGCAGCAGCAGTAGCAGCAGCAGCAGCAGCAGGGTTTACTGCGTTGGCTTTTGAGTCGCGAGTCAGAAAGGAAAGCAGCAAAGCTGAGATATAGTACACCTGAGACGCACTTGAGGCCTTAATTTCACTTTTGGTTGGCGCTGCTGCTGCTGCTGCTGCTGCTGGCAGTAGCAGCAGCACTGACAACCGGGAAGAACCCTTGGCCCACTGCGCACTAATAGCAGCAGCAGCAGCAGCAGCAAAAGCAGCAGCGAAAGCAGCAGTAGCAGCGCGGAATTAGCTGAGCAGGCAGATTGCTCGTTTGAGCGGGAGCGTGCGCAGTGAAGCAGCAGCAGCAGCAGCAGCAGCGTCTGCTGCTCCTGCTGCTGCTGCTGCTGCGCCTTGCCTGTTGCATTCCCTTTGCCTGACAAACCATTTGATAAGTTTTGCTTCTTTGGTTGTTTTCTTTTGCTGCTGAATTTCATTTATTCATTTTTGCTGCTGCTCTCTTTGCTGCTGAGCAGCCCTCAGGTGTACGTACGGCTCGCGCTCTTTTGCTGCTGAAGAAACAATAAGAGATAAATAAATAAATAAATAATAAATAGATAAATAATAAATATGTTTGCGCGCTTCTTGCCTTACTTGTTTGTAAAGTGCCGCAAAAGCACCTCCCTTTAAGTTTATAGACTTGGGGTGTATGTACACCAGCTGTGTTTTTCAAACTTTTATTTTTTTTGCATTCTTCCGGATCTAATTATATTTATTTATTTATAATGTAATTTGTAAGTATAATGTATATATTAGAATTATTGTACATATATTACTTACATATTATATATATTGTTCATATTTTTATATTATATATATATGTCAGTAGCAAATATATATACGTGTGCGGGAAATATTCCTCCATTTATACATATTAAAACACATTTGTAAATACATATGTGAATTGTACTTAAATATATTTATTTACATTTATATAATTCATTTTAATTTATTTGTATTTTCTTTTATTTCCAGTTTTTTGAATTTCCGCAAATGGCCCGCGAGGTGTCTTCGCCTCTCGGGTGTATATCCAGCTCGCAAGCGGACGAAAAGTGCATGCAGACCCTCATATTTCGAAATTCATTTTTAAAATAAACAGATAAACGAATAAAATAAATAAATTAATAAATACATGAATATTTTTAACTCTCGGCGGGGCTTTTGTTGACTTCCGGCTGTGTCTCGGGGGCTAGCTAGCCTGAGGTGTACATACACCTCAGAAGCTGGAGCACGAAACAGCCCTGCCGAAGTGTACGTACACCTGAAACTCCCATGAGGGTTTGGGAGAGCAGCGGGGGCGGAGCCCCACGGCCGCTGTCTAAACCCTAAACCCTAAACCCTAAACCCTAGCCGGCGAAGCCGGCGCAGCGCAGCGGGGCCCAAAGGCGGACCCGCAGCCAGCCAGAGGCCAAACCCTAAACCCTAACTCCAAACCCTAAACCCTAGTGCTGCTTCGAGCCGCCCCAAGTCCTCATTTTCAACTGCTGCGAAAGCAGTAGTGTGTCGGCAGCAGCAGCGGCAGCAGCAGCAGCAGAAATAGCCACAGCAACCACAAGATCTGCAGCAGCTGCAGCAGCAGCAGAAGCAGCTACAGCAAGTTCAACAACATATGCAGCAAGAGCTGCAGCAGCAGCCGTAGTAGCAGCCGCGGCAGCAGCTGCTGCAGCTGCTGCAGCAGCTGCAGCAGCTGCAGCCGCAGCAGCTGCAGCAGCAGCAGCGTGCTTGGGCTCGGTTCTGTTCCCCGCCTCAATTTCTGGTGTGCGTAGACCCTTTTGACTTTAAATGGTGAATTTGTAGCAGCAGCAGCAGCAGAAAGAAAAGGAGGTGCAGCAACAACAGCAGCAGCAGCAGCAGCAGCAGCTGCTGCAGCAGCAGGAGACCGCTGGTCGCGAGCGCCGCCAACGCCACTTAGCTGCTGCTGCTGCTGCTGCTGCTGCAGTTTATTTCTTTCTTTTTAATCTTCTTAAAAAGCAAAAAGCTGTACATACACCTCAGCAGCACAGCATGTTAACCCCAGAAGTCCTGCTGGGAAGCAAGTGGCTACGTGCTGCAGCAGCAGCAGCAGCAGCAGCACCAGCGGCGGCAGCGGCAGCAGCAAGAGTAGCAGCAGCAGCACCCCCGTCGCCACTTTTTAAAGAAATATCGCAAACGCAGTCGTTTAACTTGGGTTTAGTTGCTAAACCCTAAACCCTAAACCCTAAACCCTAAAACCCAGGCCCTCAACCCTACAGCCGTCGCCGACGCTATCGATGGCCCATTGGGATCTGCGGCTGCAGCAGCAGCTGCAGCAGCAACGACAGCAGCAGCAGCAACTGCAGCAGCACCAACTGCAGCAACAACTGCTGCAGCGGCCTCACCTGGGCTACCTGCCTTCTCCGTACCCCTCTTTCCCCCCACTGCCCTACTTGCAGCAGCAGCAGCAGCAGCAGCACCACTTCGCAACAGAAAGAGCAGCACAAGCAGCAGCAGCAGCAGCAGCAGAAGCAGCAGCAGCAAGAGAAGGGGCCCTCCAGCTGCTGCACCCGGGGGGCCCACAGTATGAAGAAGGATACTGCTGCCCGCCATCTATTTGGAGCGACAGCAACATACCTCATCTGCAGCTGCAGCAGCAGCAGCTTCAGCAGCAGCTGCTGCTGCAGCACCTGCAGCACCAGCAGCTGCAGCAGCAGCAGCTCGACCAGAAGCACCTGCTGCAGCAGCGGCAAGCCCCAGCCGAAATTGCAGCAGCAGAGGCTGCATTTGCGGGTCCCCACGAACTCAAGCCAGCAGCAGCAGCAAAAAGGTACTTCTCAGCAGAAAAAGCAGCAGCAGCAGCAGCCACAAGAGCAGCAGCAGCAGCAGCAGCAACAGGAGAAGAAGACAGTACTGCCTATGCTTCCCCTTTAGAAGCACCAACAGCTTCCCCCCGCAGCACCCCAAGGCAGGGGGCCCCCCGGGGGCCCCCTTCGGCGGGCCCCTGGGGGCCCCCAAACCCGACCTGCGGGCCAGCAGCAGCAGCAGCAGCAGAAAAGAATGAGGAAGGCGATGCTGCCTCGCCTGAGGCAGAACAGGGGGCCTCCTGCAGCAGCAGCAGCAGCAGCAGCGAAAGCCGCGCTGCTGCTCCCGTTGCTGCTGCTCCTGCTCCTGCAGCAGCAGCTGCAGCAGCACCTGCTGCAGCAACTGCTCGGGGAAACGAGAAAGATCTCGACAGCGGGTGCCTCCCTGCACACACGAAAGCCAAGCAGAGGCAGCAGCAGCAGCAAAAGCAGCAGCAGCAGCAGCAGCAGCAGGAAGAGTTACCGTCTTTCATGTTTACTGAGCTGCTGCCGCAAACTGAAAACTATGAAGCATTTAAGCCGCTGCAGGCGCAGCTAGTTTTTACTCCTGAGTGGTGGGGGGCCCCTTATCTGCAGCGGGAGCAGCAGCTGCTGCTGCAGCAGCAGCAGCAGCAGCAGCTCTACGACGACGTGCCCCTCAGGGTCACGCTGCCGCCAGTTCTCCCGTTGCTGCACTCGCAGCTGCCCTACAACAGCAGCAACTGCAGCAGCAGCAGCACCTACGCCTACAGCAGCAATGTGCAGGGCTTCTTTTCCTATATGCCTGGTTACGTCTGCGGGCCAGCAGCAGCAGCAGCAGCAGCAGCAGGTAGTTCTAGTGATAAGCTGGAGCCGGAGGAGGAGTATCGGCAAGAGGAGGAAGAGCAGGACGAGCAGCAGCAGCAGCAGCAGCAGCAACAGCAGCAGCAGCAACAGCAGCAGCAGCTGCAGCAGCAGCGGAGGCCGCCGAGGCGGGAAACAAGAGAGTACGTGCATGTCTCGAGCGGCTACAGAGAAGTGCAGCAGCAATCTCCGGGCATAATCTGCAGCAGCAGCAGCAGCAGCAGCAACAGCAACAACAACAACAGGAAAAGCAGCAGCTACGAAATCAGGTCTGAAGAAGAGGCCCTTCGCCTGCCCGTCACTTCTTATGATATTGTTGCCACACTTAAAGAAGCCAGGCTGAAGCAGCCGCAGCAGCAGCAGCAGCAGGAGCAGCAGCAGCAGCAGCAGCAGGAGGAGCAGGGGCAGCAGGGAGAGGAGCAGCAGCAGCAGCAATGGGGGGACGTCGTCGACCCCGCAATATGCTGCTGGTCTTCTTACAATTCTCCCTCACATAGCAAGCAGCAGCAGCAGCAGCAGCAGCAGGAATGGGACTACGAGCAGCAGCAGCAAGAGCAGCAGCAGCAGCTGCAGCAACCCCGAATCTTGCTGCTGCTGTTGTTGCTGCTGCTGCTGCTGCTGAGCATTTTCCTGCTGCTGTGGTTGGTCGCGCTGCTCTTGTTGCCGAACCACCTGCTGCTCCTCCTGTTCTTGGTCGTGGGCTTCCTCCCCCTGCTGCTGCTGTAGCTGCTGCGGCAGCTGCAACTGCTGCTGCTGCTGCTGCTGGAGAGGCTGAAATAGCTGCTGCAGCAAAGGCAGCGGCGCCGTCAGCCAAGGCGAGTGCAGCACCCACGGGCAGCTGCTGCCTCTATGAGAAACAAAAACAGACATTTCGCTGCAGGGCTTCTTGCTGCTGCTGCTGTTGTTGCTGCTGCTGCTGTTGCTGCTGCTGCTGCTGTCACTCTTGCTGCTCTGCGTAGGTGCAGCAGTCACTCCAGCGGCAACTGGGTGCTGCTGCTGCTCCTTGTGCTCTGGTATCGATCTTCCGTGCTGCCTCTGCTGCTGCTCCCGCAGTGTAGCAGATGCTGCTGACTTCGCTGAGGAAGACTGCTGCTGCTGCTGCTGCTGCTGCTGCTCGGGGAAATCCCTTGGTGTGACTGCGAGATGTTGTATGCCGTAGAGAGCCCGCCAGATAAACGAAGCAGCAATGGCTGCACGCTTCTGCTGCTGCAGCAGCTGCTGCTGCTGTTGCGGCTGCTGCTGCTGCTGCTGCAGCTCACGGCCTACCGCTGCAGCGATTCGCAGAAGCAGCGGCGCGTCATAAAACCCTAAGTGGTGGTAGCAAAGAGTCAAGGCGCTGAGCAAAGCCGAACCGGTCAGCTGCAGCAGCAGCAACTGCTGCTGCTGCTGCTGCTGCTGCTGCTGCAGCTGCGTGAGGACCCGCTGCTTGACTATGGCCCTCAAAGGGCCTACCCAGGCCCCCATAGCAACAACGCCGTGCCAAGCCAGTACAGCAGATTCTGCTGCTGCTGCTGCTGCTGCTTGCTGCAGCAGTGGCAGCAGCTCCGGCAGCAGTAAAACGTTGCATGCGCCCCCCACTGTCAGGCAGTGGAATACAGTGATGATGTGGCGGCTTTGCTGCTGCTGCTGCTGCGGCGGCAGCAGCAGTAGTTGCTGCTGCAGTCGCGCCACTCTCTGAAGCAGACTGCCGCAGCAGGCTGCTAGCAGCACTTCGTCTTTTAGCCTTAGCCGCTGCAACGCGAGCAGCAAATACGACATTTGCTGCAGGGGAACAGCAGCAAGCTGCTTGCTGCTGACGAGATGTGCTGCTATTGCTGCAGCAGCAGCAGGCTCGCTGTGCCCCAGCAGCGCAAGGTGGTAGAGGCTGCTGCAGCAAGCAGCAGCAGGCAGCAACGGGGCCCACTGCTGCAGCAGCAAACTAGCAGCAGACAGCAGTGGGGGATCAACGTGAAGGCATTCAGAGAGGCACCGAATAAGTGCTGCGGCATCCAGCGCAACCTTTTGCTGCTGCTGTGGCAGCAGCTGCAGCTGCAGCAGCTGCTGCTGCTGCTGCTGCTGCGCCAGCTGCTGCGCCTGTTCCGGGCCCTCGATCTGCCGCTGCTGCAACAACAGCAGCAGTTGCTGCTGCTGCTGCGGGCTCACCAGTGGCAGCACCACGTGCCGCCGAGGATGTAGCAGAGCCGTAGACAACAGCAGCGAACCCTGCTGCTGCTGCTGCTGCTGCAGCGCATGCATTGTCTGCGTCAGCCAGCAGCAAATTTGCTGTGTCAATTTAAAGTCCTGCAGACACCGAAAACGGCTGACCAGCTTTAAGTACCAAACAGCTTCGTCCCACGTGAGACGAGCAGCAGCAGCAGCAGCAGCAGCAGCAGCCGGTGCTGCTGCTGCCGCTGGATCTGGTGCTGCTGCTGAGTCTAATGCAGCTGCTGCCGCTGCTGCTGGATCTGCTGCTGCTGCAGAGTCTGCTGCAGCTGTTGCCGCTGCTCCCGCTGCTGCTGGATCTGGCGCTGCTGCTGAGCCTGCTGTAGCTGCTGCTTCTGATTGGCCTGCCGCAGCTGCTGCTTCTGTCGCTGCTGCTTCTGCTGCTGCTGGTGCTTCTGTTTCTAATGCCACCTTTAGCGCTGCAGATGCCACTGCGGGTGCCCCTGCTGCATGCGCCGGAGCCGCTGCAGCTGCTGCTGCTGCTGCTGGAGAGGCGGTTGCTGCTGCTGCTGCCTCTGCTGCTGCAGTGACAGCCGCCTTACGCCTTACGTGCTGCTGCAGCTGCAGAAACAGTGCAGCTGCAGCCTGCTGGTGGTCACCCTGTGGGGCTGCTGCTGCTGCTGCTGCTAAGGGAGGGCGCAGCGATAGATCGTTTTCTGCTGCCGCTGCTGCTGCTGCTTCCTCTTCGTCTGCTTCCCAGTGCAGCTTCTGTTCAGGGCTTTCTGGTGTAGCATCACCTGCTGCTGCAGCACCTGCTGCTGCAGCACCTGCTGCTGCAGCACTTGGTGTAGCGCCTGCAGCTGCAACACTTGATGCAGCGCCTGCTGCCGCAGCACCTGCTGCTGCAGCATCTGCTGCTGCAGAACCCGGTGCACCACCTGCCCCTGCAGCACCTGCTGCTGCAGCACCTGCTGCTGCTGCAGCAGGGGGCTTGCGGTGTACGAACACCAAGTTTAAATAGCCGTGGCAGATTTTTGCTGCACTGCTAAAGTCTCCCTGCTGCAGCAGCAGCAGCGCCTGCTGCTGCAGCAGCATCCACGCATCCCTGCAGCAAGGGCGCCCATAGCAGCCAAGCAGGAATGCAATTTCTGCTGCTGCTGCTGCTGCTGCTGCTGCTGCACAGCTGCGCTGCAGCACGCGAGATATCGCACGGCTAACGAGCTCTGACTTGCTGCCACTCTCTGCAGCAGCAGCAACAGCAGCAGCAGCAGGGGCGTCAGCAGCGGCTGATAACCCGCTTGCTGCTGCTGCCCTGCCACTGGCTACAGCTCCTTCACTCTGCTGCTGCAGCTGCGCCTCATCGCTCCACTGTGGAGCAGCAGCGTCAACATGGGGCTCTTGCTGTTGTTGTTGTTGCTGCTGCTGCTGCTGCTGCAGTGAGCGCCGCTGTAGCTGCAGCAGCAGCGTGTGTATGTCGCAGTCTTGGGCAGCCCGACATATGAACTTCAGGTCTCCCTGACTGCTGCCTGCATTTTGCTGCTGCACTGTGTTTCTCCTGCTGCCACTGGATCTGCTGCTGCTGCTGTAGTTGCTGCTGCTGTAGTTGCTGCTGCTGTGGTTGCTGGTGCTCCTGCCATTGATGCTGTGGCCACTGCTGCTGGCAGTGCTCCTATGCTCCACACTAGCGTAGCCATTGTTTCTGCTGCTGTTGCCGTTGCTGCTGCTGCTCGTACCGCTGCTGCTGCTGCCGCTGCTGCTGCTGGGGGCCAGCCCAGGGGCAGAGCACCAGCGCAGCTGTACATACAGCCCGAGTGGCGGAGGGCTTGCTGCTGTTCTTTTCCTCAGTTGCTGCCCCTGCAGCAAATGCAGCAGATTCCAGCGCCTCATTGCAGCAGCAGCAGCAGCTGCCGCTGCTCCTTCTGTTGCTGCTGCTGCTGGCTCTGTTGCAGCTCCATCGATCGCCGCGGGTCCTGCAGCTGCTGCTGCCGCTGCTGCTGCTAGGATTAATCACTCCAGATCGCCTGCTGCTGAACGGTGTGCAGGAAGAGCAGCAGCAGCAGCAGTAGCAGCAACAGCAGCAGCTAAGTGTTCTATGGGGCCCCCTGCAGCCGCTGCTGTTGTGAGGCGGCCGAGGGGCCCCGCAGCAACAAGCCAAGACCTCGTTTGTCTCAGCAAATTGTAATTTTAATTTTTAAATAATATTTCCTTATCTTTAGAACTCATTGCCGATAGCAGGAGCAGCAGCAGCGAGTACGCACGCACAATCGAAGTCCTGCTGCGCTGCCACAGCAGCAGCAGCAGCAGCAGCGAAGCAAGAGCACCAGACACCGCGGCCGAGAAGCCTCGAGACAGTCTCTCCGTTTCCCAAACAGTATCTTCTTCATTCCATAAACTTTAAATATTTTTTCCTGCTCACGTTTTTCCAAAGCAGCGGCAGCAGCAGCAACAACAACAACAGTGCCTACACCAGCTCGAGCAGCCTAAGCGACAGCAACTGCCGCCGCCGCCGCACCAGCAGCAGAAGCAGCAGAAGCAGCAGCAGAAGCAGCAACAACGGGCCCACAAAACCCCCACTCGCGAGATCAGACACCCCAGCCCCACCGCATCCACTGCAGCAGCAGCAACAGCAGCGACTCCCAAATACTTCAGCAGCAGCAGCAGCAGCAGCACCCCAGCTGCAGCAGCGAGAGCAGGAGGAACACCCCAGCGGCAGCCCCTTAGGAACAGCAGCAGGAGCAGCAGCAGCAGCAGCAGCACCAGCAGCAGCAGCAGCAGCAGCAGCAGCAGCACCAGCAGCAGCACCCGCAGCAATACCAGCAGCAGCACCCGCAGCAGCAGCAGCAGCACCCGCAGCAGCAGCAGCAGCAAAATGAAGGACTACGGGCGCGTGTTGGCGCTGCAGTCGCACGTGGTGCGGGGCCACGTTGGGGCAGATGCATTTTGCTTCCCGCTGCAGCACTTGGGGCTGGACGTGGGGTGTATATACACCTGCCAGTTCGTGGACCTTTTCACCCACGAGGGTTCGCAGCTGCAGCAGCAGCAGCTGCAGCAGCTGCTGCAGCACTTCCAGGCCGCGGCCTTCCTGCCTGCTGATTCTGCGGGCGGCGCTGCGCCCCCCGCTGCAGCAGCAGCAGCAGCAGCAGCAGGCGGCTACGAGCCCCCTTTTCGCTACATTGCTTCCGGATTTGTGGGGAGTGGAGAGCTGCTGCAGCAAATTGCTGAGTGGCTGGGGGCCCTCAGGGGGGCCCCCGGGGGCCCCCGGGGGCCCCTCTACTTCTTAGACCCTGTTTTAGGGGATTGCGGCAAGCTGTACGTACACCCCAGCTGCGTCAGCAGCTACAGCAGCAAGCTGCTGCCTCTCGCCGATGTCATTACACCCAACCAGTACGAGGCGGGCTGGCTGCTGGGCAGCAGCAGCAGCAGCAGCAGCAGCAGCAAGGAGCAGCAGCAGCAGCAGGAAGGGGCGGGGTGGCGGGACTGCTGCTGCGAGGCCGTACCCATTGACAATTTTGCTGCTCTTTTTGCTGCTGTTGCTGCGCTGCACCAGCTGGGGCCCGAAGTGGTGGTCATTACTTCTGTGCAGTTCCCTTCTGCTGCTGCTGCTGCGGAGGCCCACGCCATCCTCGCTGCAGCGCAGCAGCAGCAGCAGCAGCAGCAGCAGCAGCAGAAACCCGAAGACTACTTGTTCATCGTCGCGTCCCGCAGGGAGCGGGAGGTGCAGCGCTGCGCGCCCTCAGCAGCAGCGGCAGGCGCAGCAGCAGACGCGGGAGATGCAGCAGCAGCAGCAGCAGCAGCAGAAGCAGTAGACGTGCTGTATGCTGCTGCTGTGCCCATCAAACAAGGATATATAGGAGGCGCCGGAGATTTATTTGCTGCTCTTTTTCTTGGCTTCTTTGTCCGGGAGAATTTCCATCTGGGAAAAACTCTGGAGAAAACAATTGCTGCAGTCCAGGTTTGCTGCTGCTGCTGCTGCTGTGCTGCTGCTGCTGCTTCTGGGGGGAAAGCGGTTACTGCTGCTACGTCTTCTTGCTGCTGTCGGTCGGTGCCTTTGCTGCTGGTAGTGCTGCTGTTGCTGCTGCTGTTGCTGCTGCTGCTGTTCGACACCTTGGGTAACAGTAGCCTGGACTTGGCTGCGCTGCTGCTGCTGCTGCTGCTGCAGCTGTTCCTGCTGCTGAGGACGCTGCTGGGTTAGCTTCTGCTGCTGTTTGCTGCTGCCAAAGGGCTTCCTACGTGCACATACATATCTGTGAGGGCCTCCCATCCTGTAGCTGTCACTGGTGGTACTGCCGCTGCTGCTGCTGCTGCTGCTGCTGCTGCAGGGCGTGATAGAAGCCACCATAAGCCGCTCGCCGCGGCCACAAACTGTGGATGCTGTTGCTGCTCAAGAATTTATTCTTAACCCCCCGCCCTCCTGCATGCACCCAGTGGTGCTGCTGTCGCGGCAGCAGCTGCAGCAGCAGCTGCAGCAGCAGCAGCAGTGATAGGTGTAGGTGCAACGGCTGCAGCGCCTGCCGCAGCGGCGACGGCTGCGGCTGTCGCTGCCGGTGCTGCTGCTGCAGCAACACAGCTGCTGCTGCTGCTGCTGTTCTGGCCTTCGGCCGGAGTAGTAGCAGCAGCTGCAGCAGCTGCAGGAGCTGCAGCAGCAGCAGCTGCTGCAGCAGCAGTAGCAGCAGCGGAACTCACATTGGCATATCAGCAGAGTCAGCTGCGCACGTTTGTCGCCTCGAGCACTGCAACAAAGAAGCAGCAGCAGCAGCAGCAGCTTCGGTAGCAGCAGCTTCGACTTGTTTTTGATTATTTACTTTTGCGCAGAATTAGCAGACTTGCTGCCACTTCGTCAGATTAATTTCATTTCATTTTGCCATTTTGTTTTTCTGCATTTGAAACGAACAGATCTATTTTCCATTTCTAATCTTGTGTTCCTTCTGCTGCTGTTGCTGCTTCTGCTGCTGCTGCTGCTTCTGCTGCTACTGCTCCAGCTCCTGTTTTTGCTGCTAGGAGAGCTATACTTCTGCTATTAGTGCTACTGCTGCTGCTGCTGGGTGTGCTTTTGGTGCTGCTGTTGGAAAGCCTGTTGCTTCTGCTGCACCCCGTGTGGTGGTGGTGGTGGTGCTGCTGCTGCTGCTGCCACCGCTGCGGCTGCTGTTGCCTTTGCTAAGTTAGCTGCAACTTCTTGCTGCTGCCGTGTCTGCTGCAGCAGCTGCTGCAGCTGCTGCTGCTCTGTGGCTGTCTTTGCACTCACCTGTGTAGAATGCATTAGGCGGCTTGCCGCTGCAGCGAGTGGCAGCAGCTGCAGTTTGCTGCTGGAATGTTCAGGTGCTGCAACCGCCAGCTGCTGCAGCAAAGTGTGTCGCCGCCGCAGTTGTTTCCTGCTGCTGCTGCAGCTGCAATGTGCGGCTGCAGCAGCGATGTGCTGCTTTTGGGACCACGTGCTGCTGCTAAGCATTGTTGCTGCAGCTCGCTGCAGCAGCAATGAGCGCTGAAGAGCCATTTATGAAGAACTGCCTATACACAGCAGGAGCAGAAGCAGCCTAGGGGACGCTGCCTCGATGAGCCTCTGCTGCTGCTGCTGCTGCTGCTGCTGCTGCAGCCCGAGCAGCAGCAGCAGCTGCCACTGCCGCCGCCTGATCATCCCACTAAAAGCATCAAATATCATTTAATTGAGTCAAAAATATGAAATTTACGACAAAAATAGACATTTAAATCCTCACAAAGTACTTAAAACTCCAAACGGCTGCTGCTGGGGGGCCCTGAGCAGCAACGCCGACAAGGGGGCCCCACTGTCTGTACACCTGAGATTTGTTTGAAGACAAAAGCTAAAAAAATATACTCGGAATGGATTTATAACTAGAATAACTGCCTAATGTGCTGCTGCTGCCGCTGCTGCAGCTGCCGCTGCTGCAGCGGGACAAACCGCCCTTAAACCTGCAACAGATAGGATGCCTCAATCGCAGCAGCAGTGGCAGCAGCAGCAACGACAGCACCAGCAACAGCGGCATCAGCAGCAACAGCAGCAGCCACAGACGATGCTGCGAATGCACTTTATGCTGCTGTTGCTGGTGCTGCTGCTGGTAACAGATTTAGCATCATCAGCAGCAACTGCAGCCGGAGCAACAACTCCGACTGCAGCAGCAGCAGCTGCAGCAGCAGAGCGGCATCCTGGAAAAGGAGGCCAAAGAGCCTCAAAGCCTACCTCAGAAGTTGTGCTTTTGGGACAGCAGCGACAGCAACTAGAGCAGCAGCAACACGAGCTAGAACTGCAGCAGCAGCAGCAGCAGCAGCAACAGCAGCAACAGCAGCAGCTACAGCCGCGCCAACCGCAGCATGAGTTAGTTGTACATGTGGCATCGCCGCCCCTGTATGATTTGCTGCCGCAGCATCTGCAGCAGCAGCAGCAGCAGCAGCTGAGCTTGGAGCAACAACAGCATGAACAACGGCAGCCACAAAAATGGCAGCAACAGCGGAAAAAGCAGCAGCAGCAGCCGCAGCGGAATCAGCAGCAGAAACGGCAGAAAAGGCAGCAGCAAGAGCAAACGAGTCTGGAGGGTTCCTTACCTTCGCGTGTTATCCTAAAGGCAAAGGAGCACACAGCAGCAGCAGCAGCAGCAGCAGAAGCAGCAGCGGTAGCAGTAGTAGCATATGACAGAGCTGCTGCTGGTGCTGCTGCTGCTGCTTCTCGGAGGTTGTCAGGCTCAACGAACCCTGTGAGGCTTTTTTGCTGGCTGCTGCCTTCTTGACGCTAAACCCTAAACCCTAGACCCTCGAACGTAAACCCTAAACCCTAAATCCTCTAGCCTAAACCCTAATCACAGACTCCAAACAGTAAACGGGAACCGTCTTACTCTATTCAAGGGTTTGGATCTAAACCCTAGCTTGCAAACCCTAGCTCCTAAACCCTGGCTTCTAAACCCTAGCTTCTAAACCCTAGCTTTCAAACCCTAATTCTAAACCCTAGCTTTTGAACTCAAGTCCCAAACCCTAAACCCTCGGCGGAAGCAGCTGGTCTCATTTTTGCCTTTGCTGCTGCTGCAGCCCATCTGCAACAATGGCGAATACCTTGACGTCGTACGTCCGGCTGCTGCTGCTGCTGCTGTATTGCTGCTGCTGCTGCTGCTGCATTAACCCGCAAGCCTGCTGCTGCATGCCCTCAATCGCCCCCCCGTGCCCATCCCCTGCAGCAGCAGCAGCAGCAGCAACAGCAGCAGCATCCTTCCGCGCTAGCTGCAGCCCGCCCCAACGCCCCTCCCGCCGCCGCTGCCACCGCTGCTGCTGCTGCCGCTGCTGCTGCTGCTGCTGCTGCTGCAGGACGACGCATGCAAACTGTGCCCCGCGGGCACCTACTCCTCGCGGGGATCTGTGGGGCCCCACGCATGCATAAAGTGCCCCCCTGGGGCTTACAGCAGCGCGGGGGCCCCCGTGTGCACCTCTTGTGCTGAGCACAAAAGTGGGCTTTTGGGGCCCTTTTAGGGTTTAGGGTTTAGGGTTTTGCTGCTGCTGCTCCGCAGCTGTTTGCTGCTGCCTGCGGGGAGTTTGCTGCTCCTTTTTCCAGCTTTCTGCTGCTTTTTTAGCGGCTTTTTCGCCGTTTTCACTGCTGCTGCTTCTGCTGCTTCTGCTTCTGCTGCTTCTGCTTCCATGCTTTTGTCTTTCTCACATCCTTTTATCATTCCGTGGCTGCAGCAGCAGCAGCAGCAGCTTAAGAGAATACCGTTTGGCTGCTGCAGCAGCTTATTCGTGAACTGCCGGCTTCTCCCAGTGTCATGCTGTAGCAGCAGCAGCAGCAGATGCTGCTGTTTATTTTGCTGCTGCTAAAGATGATCATGCTGCTGACCTCAAGTGCTGCTGCCGTTGCTGCAGCTTCTTTTGCTGCTGCTGCTGCTAGAACGGAGGGCATACGGGCACACACAGAATGAGTCTTAATTACTGCTGTTGCTGCTGCTGTTGCTGCTGCTGCTGCAGCTACTGCAACAAGCGGAGCGACTTCGGCCGACAGCTGCTTCTGCATTTCAGGTAAGGTGACACTCTAGCTAGCTAGCTCTTGTTTGGCTAGCTAGCTAGCCGGTGAGACATTTAGCTAGCTGTGCAGCTAGCTAGCTTGCTGGCTAGCTAGCTAGCCACTTAGCTAGCTAGCCACCTAGGTAGTAAATTAGCTAGCCAGCTAGCTACCTAGCTAGCCACCTAGGTAGTATGTTAGCTAGCTAACTAGCTGCTTAGCTAGCTAGCTTCCCGCTTACCTACCTCCGTAGCTGCAGTCTTAGGCAGCTAGCTGCGCCCATCAATTAGACAGCTAGCTGTCTGGCTAGCTAGCTATCTGGCCAGCTAGCTAGCTAACCAGCTAACCAGTAAACCCGCTTAGCGCCCCTGGGAGCAGAACCACAGGCAGAGCGGTCTCGACAAGCAGCAGCAGCAGCAGCAGCTGCTGCTGCTGCTGCTGCTGTTGCACAAACAAAACAAACGACGCAGCAGCACCAGCAGCAACAGCAACAGCAGCAGTGTTGCCCGCTCGGAGTCCTGGGCGCAACACGCCAGCCATAACACAACGGCATGCGCCACGCAGCAGCAGCAGCAGCAACAGCAGCAGCAGGATTGTGTTTTTGCTGCTGCAGGCACAAAGCCCACCAGCGACGGCAGCTGCGTGGAATGCGCGCGAATGTCTGAGTGGTGTCTGCGAGCAGCAGCAGACGGAGGCGGCTGGTGGTCCTGGGCCTCCATCTGCGGCAGCAACAGCAACACCAGCAGCAGCAGCAGCTACGGGGGAGGGAAGCCGCACCCGTTCTGCGAGGAGTTGGGATCGGATCCCGAAAAGTTGACTTTCCGCTACGGCTGCAGCAGAAGCGGCAGCTGCACTGGCAACGTTGCAGAGCCCTGCACTGATGGAACTGCAGGCGTTTTCTGTGGAGGGGTCTGCTGCTGCTGCTGCTGCTGCTGCTGCTGCTGCTGCTGCTGTTGCTGCTGCTGCTGTTGCTGCCATTGATTCTATTGGTAGCACTGACAACGTTGCAGAGCCCTGCACTGATGGAACTGCAGGCGTTTTCTGTGGAGGCGTGTTCTGCTGCTGCCGCTGCTGCTGTTGCTGCTGCTGCTGTTGCTGCTGCTGCTGCTGCTGCTTCCGCTACTACTGCTGCAACTGCTGCTGCCGCCGTTGCTAATGCTGATGCTAGGGTTAGCGCTACTGCTGCTGCTGCTTGTGTTGCTATTGGTTCTGCTGCCAACGCGAGTACCGCTGCTGTCGCCATTAATAGAGTGTAATAAGTTTCATAAATATATTAAATTTATTTTATTTTAAAAATATGAAATGCATTTCTATTTTAAGAACTGAAATGTACTTGTACTATAAAAGTGCATGCGAATTAAATCATTCTTTTATGTTAGCCTTTCTCTGCAGGGGACCCCACACGCACAAACATGCAGCCGCTCGGGTCCTGCTGCTGCTGCTGCTGCTGCTGCTGCTGCTGCTGCTGCTGCTGCTGCTGCTGTTGCTCAGTGTGCCTCAGGCTACAGCTCCTCTTTGCTGTTTCCCTATTTGTACGGCTGCCGCCCCTGTGGGGCCATGCAGTATCTTTGCTGCTGCGGTGTTATTGCTGCTGCTGCGCTGCTTGCTGCTGTTGCTCTCTGGTGGCTGCGGCGAGGGGCCCTTTGGGGAGATTCTTCAGAAATTGTTGCGCTGCTGCGGGGCATTACCTTCTTTTGGCAACACACTTCCAACATCTCGTGAGCCTCTAGGGTTTAGCGTTTAGGGTTTAGGGTTTAGGGTTTCGGGTTTTGGGTTTCGGGGCTTCAGGAGAGCACGGGGGCTCAAATGGTTGTTCTAGGGTTTAGGGTTTAGGGTTTAGGGTTTTAGGGTTTCGTGAGAGCACGTGAGCTCAAAGGGTCTCCGGCGGGCACAGGGAACATAGGGTTCAGGATTTAGGATTAGGAATTTAGGGTTTAGGGTTT